TTGACACTGTCCCTTCAATAACTGCAACCAGTGCTGCTTCAGCTGCTGAGATCCTTGCTTTCTTCATTTACTCATCATTCTCCATTTTATTTATATTCTAATCCTTAATTTTTTTTACTTACAACAACAGTTTATCTCCATTTTATTTATATTCTAATCCTTCATTTTTACCAAAACAATTTCAAATATTTTAATGCTTTCAGATACTTGAGATCAGAGATGCTATTATACAGTAATAAGGTCGGTGGATTTCTCTGCCTTGTGGTGCAGGTCACAGACAGTGAGGACAAATTCACTCTGTAGCAACACAGAGGTAAGGATTGGCTTCACAGCGAAGATTTATGGACGGAGGTTTTTCATTTTTTCGTTTTTTTTTTTTTTGTTTTACAGAGGTGGTGGAAGGAGAAACTGTCACAGGAAATGATTACATCTGGTCCTATAAAACCAGAAGTTATGTGAAGATGTCAAATCAATGTGTATTCCAGGCCCTTTGTTTTTGCTGACACTATTCTCATTTCTTCCATCCTCTGAGGCCGTAGGAAAAAAACAAAAACATTTGTTTGTTTTCCGATCTGCATCACGATGGATTATCCTGGCTACGTCGTAAAGCAGATGAACACTGGATGGACTTGGAGGGAAAAGATGGGTTTTCATTTTTTGAATTTATTTAGAACAGGGGTGTCAAACTTATTTTGGTTTATGGGCCGCATACAACCTAATTAGACGTCAAGTGGGCCGGATCGGTACAATCATAGCATAATTAACTACGTTTTACATCTTTGTTTTCATGCAAGTGCAAGTACTTTAGATCGATCATTATTATTCTTATATATTTAATAAAAATATATCTTTAAGTGTTTATGTATATATTTTTTTCAAAATCTTCTAAGCAGGCCGGATTGAACACCCTAGTGGGCCAGTTTTGGTCCACGGCCGTATGTTTGACACCCCTGATTTAGAACCTACCCCCTTGATGACAACAGAACGTCAGGGTCGGGGAGGAAAGGCGGGTATTTCTAACAAACGATTAGGACAGTTGCGTTTTATTCGGAATTTTGTTGTGTTGTTGGTAGAAGCTAAATTAAAGAGAGCGAACCATCTTGGAAGTACATCCATGCAGATACAACCGCTGCAGGGATAAGTGAGTGACTTTATAATACAATGAAAAAAGATCGCCGTGCAGAGAGCATGTAGATGCATTTTATTTTACGCTTATTTTGTTCTATGAATATTTATTTGATGCTGCTGGCGATAAACAAAACAAAAAACAAACAAAAAAAAAAACAACAAAAAAAATCTTGAAGTATATTTTTCTAATTCTGGCCACACACGTCTGTTTGGTTTGGAACGTTACATTTTCTTTTTTAAAGAAGACAATGTTTAATCGTCCTGCGTCACAAAGACAAAGTTAGTTTCAGGAGTTGACAACATCGAGCTTCTCTGCACAGCTGGTGATCATTTACTTAAATGAAGTGAAAAAAAAAACAATTAGCTTGTAGTAATAAGAACCTCATTATTCTCTAAAGTTTCAGCTTCTTTAATCAAACTATTCGACATTGCTTTAAACGTTTTTGTCTTTCTTCCCTGTGTTTTATTATTTAGGCCCGAAAGACAGGGCTTTATCTCAAATCTGATTGGTTGTTGGATGCAATATAAGACACATATTACATGGCATATAAGTAAATAGTTTGTTCTCATCATTTATTCTTTATCCCACTTCTTCTCTTAACTGTGCTGCTTCCACTCAGGTATACTTTATCCTATCGTATTTCAGCCTGATGTGTTGCCAGGGTGAAAAAAATCTGCCCTAAGGCCTTCAGAGTCAGCTGTGGGGGCGCTGGAGTTACATTGGTTTATACAGATAAAAATATACATGTTATCAGGTTCTCAATAGTATTTCAATTTGCAGCGGTGTGTCAGGGGGCGGCCTGAAAACATTTGGGACATTCTCAGCCTAAAGAGCCTTATAACTCATACCATGAATACGACGCAACGGACTGGATGGAGATAGAAAAGGACTCGTTGTTAGAACCGAATCGCACGGATAACAAAATCGAATCGGCTTCAAAACCAATTCCCACGATCCTCGCCGGGGCCATCCTTACTTTCTTTACCACAAATGGATTTAACTTCCCATTCATCATAAAAGAAAAGATGATTGACAGGCGTGAATGTTTCAACGCTGACACATCTGCAGTGCAAACAGCAAAGTTTCACTGATGAAACACAGAACTCAGCATGACTCTGAAGAACACCTGAAGGACACCTACACGTGTGTCTTCAGTTTTAGCTTCACTGTGATGTTTAACAGCATTTCACCTTGATGCACAGTAAGAAAAAAAAAAAAAACAGTGTCTTCGTGCTACGTGTTCAGCAACTTTATTTTCGAATGGAATTGGAATCGAATGGAAAAAAAATAAAAAACTTTCTTTTTTTCTGCTAGAGCTTAATAAAAGTTAGGTCATTTTGGTTATATGTGTGTTAAAATATATATATATATGTTTTTTAAGAGCTAGTGCTGAAGATCTCAGGTCTGGTTGATAAAGTCTCACGGGCAGCAAATGCAGCGCAACACGCAGTGAGATGCCGGCAAAGGACTTTCAGGAGTTGAAGGTGAGGCGCCTGTCGCCTGCAGCTCTTCACCTAACTTCGGCTGCTACTCCTTGTTCTATTACTCCCCTACAATATTTTAAAGTGAGCTGCGAAACATAAAATGCCAAAAAAAAAAAACCGCGGAATGACAGAGGTAAGTGCCGAGTTCACTGACAAACAATGCAGTTGTGCGGAAATGTCAAGGTTTATGTTCGATCTCTGTGTCTGTCCTAACAGCTGGGTGGAGTTTAAAAATGCGGGTCCTAACAGCTGGGTGGAGTTTAAAAATTTTTTAATTTGTTTTTTTTTTGCAAAAAATGAAAACAATGAAAAAGTGCACCACTGCTGTTATGCTTGAACGATAACAAGCCTCCAGTCACTAGGTGGCAGCAACTCATACAGTGGTTTGTACAGGTGAAAATACACATGTTATCAGGTTCTCAATAGTATTTCAATTCGTGGGGGTGTGTAAAAAAACTACAGTAAGACAAAGATTATATCATTATTAGGACCACATTAAGAATTAAAAAAAAATTGATTAAAAGTAAATGTGAGACTGAAATCCAAAGCGCTATGATGACTCAGTCAGTATTCTGCAAAAAAAAAAAAAAAAGGTAAATTTGTGGGTAAAAAGTTGTAGTTTTATGTCAAAGAAGTTGCAAAGTAAGTAGAAAAAACGTATTAGTTTATTATAACTTATGAGAGTCGTGGTCGTATGGCACAAACACTTTGTACCATTAGTATTGTGTATTTAAAAAAACAAGTCACATGTTATAATAAGCGCACCACTAAAAAACGCGAACCAAGGATGTGTCTAAAAGAACAAGCAGCGCTGCCTACAATCAGACAAACAAACGTGTAGGATTGTAGACTGTGTGTTCTCTGAAAGGACAGCAGGGACACAGCAGGCCCCCTTTGTGGGCTGTGACAGAGTAAACCACGCCCATGTAACAGGGGCGTGGCTTACTCTATCACACCCGTAAAGGGGGCGTGTTTATCTAACCACGCCCCTCGAAAGCGCTGACCACGCCCCTGTGACAGGGGCGTGGCTTACTTTGTCAAAGCGTGGTTTACCTAGCCACACCCATAATTGGGCGTGGTGTATCTAGCCACACCCCCTTTGTGGCTGTGACAGCGTAAACCACGCCCATGCAACAGGGGCGTGGCTCACCAGACCACGCCCATGTAACAGGGGCGTGGCTTACCAGACCACGCCCCTGTTACCAGGGGCATGGTTTATTTAGTCAAAGCTCACAAATGAGGCGTGACTTTCTTAGCCACACCCCATTTCAGCAACTGGCTACTTAGCTCAGTGGTAGTGACACAGACTGGGAAACCTGTGAGCGTGAGTTCAAACCCTGTCTAAGCAACCTGAAAGACATTCATGCTTTCAAAAAAGTAATACTAATAATTTATTATATATGCACATCATATTTGAGTTTTTTAAGCGCTTGTCTCAACTCATTTCTTTTAGCAGTTTTAAACAGTGCTTTTTAAAATAGGGGCTACCAGGGCGGGCTCAGAAAATTGGAGGAAAGATAGGAAAAAAAAATGAAAAAAAAACCCCCCCAAAACTACCTATTTCAAATTTGTTAAAATTCATTTTTATAACCATTTGTCCTGAGCCATACTTGATCCTCAAGCAAACATGTAGCTGGCTAGCGCAAAATGAACGGGATTTTGACAATGCGGAGAAACATCTTTGTTATTCATTTTCTTATGATAAACAAAAAATAAAAGTCATAAAATACCTTCTTAAGGTTAATGTTTCTTTATATATTTTGCAGCATTTTCTGTGGGTTTTGCAAAGGGAGCCCTAGCTTGAAGCTAACGCTGTTATAGAGAATCCATATATTGGCAATTTGGTGTAAAAAAGTCAGCATCAAATTTCCACTGTTAATGAGTAAATAATGTCTGTGTAACTGTATGAAAAACAGTTTTTTTTTTGTAGTAGATGAATTAATACATTTAGCTTATTTAGCTAATACCAAGTAAATACAGTAATTACACCAGCTCCGCAGCCTCCCATGTGCCCACTGATCTGTACGCCTCACACTGGGGTTGTGACAAAACAGCAG